GGGAAAAAATCCCGTTATTTTGGGTTAAAACCCAGCAAAATCCTATTATTGCAACTGGAAATGGACAAAAATCCCATTATTTCATGTGGAACACGGGGACTGCGTGCTCCAGACCCACAAACAGCTTATCCTGGACATAGTGGAGCTGAAAATGGGAAAAAATTGGATTGTTTTGGGGTAAAATGGGAAAAAATCCCATTATTCCATCTCAAAATGGAGAAAAATCCCATTATTTTGGGTTAAAAATCAGCAAAATCCCATTATTGCACATGGAACGCGGGCACGGCGTGTTCCAGACCCACAAAGAGTTTATCCTGCATGTAGTGGAGCTGGAAATGGGAAAAAATACAATTATTGGAGCTGGAAATGGGAAAAAATCCAGTTATTTTGGATTAAAACCCAGCAAAATCCTATTATTGCAGCTGGAAATGGACAAAAATCCTGTTGTTTCATGTGGAACACGGGGACCGCGTGCTCCAGACCCACAAAGAGTTTATCCTGCACGTAGTGGAGCTGGAAATGGGAAAAAATTGGGTTATTGTATCTCAAAATGGGAAAAAATCCCGTTATTTTATCTTATAATGGACAAAAATCCTGTTATTTCATGTGGAATGCGGGGACGGCGTGTTCCAAACCCACAAAGAGTTTATCCTGCACGTAGTGCAGCTGGAAATGGGAAAAAATTAAATTAGTGTATCTGAAAATCATAAAAAATCCTGTTATTTTATCTTAAAATGGACAAAAATCCCCATTATTGCACACAGAACGCGGGTACCGCGTGCTCCAAACCCACAAACAGCTTATCCTGGACATAGTGGAGCTGAAAATGGGAAAAAATTGGATTGTTTTGGGGTAAAATGGGAAAAAATCGCGTTATTCCATCTCAAAATGGAGAAAAATCCCATTATTTTGGGTTAAAAATCAGCAAAATCCCGTTATTTCATGTGGAACGAGGGCACCGCGTGTTCTAAACCCACAAACAGCTTATCCTGCACATAGTGGAGCTAAAAATGGGAAAAAACACAATTATTGCATCTGAAAATCAAAAAAAATCCCATTATTTTATCTTATAACGGACAAAAATCCCGTTATTTCATGTGGAACGCGGAGACGGCGTGCTCCAAACCCACAAACAGCTTATCCTGGACGTAGTGCAGCTGGAAATGGGAAAAAATGGGTTATTGTGGGTGGAAATGGAAAAAAAACCCCATTATTTTATCTGAAAATCAGAAAAAATCCCATTATTGCATCGGAAAATCAAAAAAAATCCCGTTATTTCGGGTTAAAAGTCAGCAAAATGTCATTATTTCACACGGAATGAGGGCACCGCGTGCTCCAGACCCACGAAGAGTTTATCCTGGACATAGTGCAGCTGGAAAACCCCTAATTCATGATAATTCCAATTTGAATTCCCACCTACCCCTGACTGGAACTGTCCTTTCTGCCCAGTGTTTTGGGGTGCAGTCCCCACGTTTGCAGGTTGATGGTACACGGTGACCGTGGCCCCGTTGAAGGTGGGGCTGGAGCCCGTGGCCGCTTTCACCACCCCGTTGGTGATGATTTCCTTGATTCTGTTCACTGCTCCTGAACAATAAAAAAAATTAAAATTTTAGGGTTAAAAATTATCCTATAACTATCCTAAAGAAGTGCTAAAAAAATCCCAAAAAACATCGCAAAAACCATCCCAAAAAAGTGCCAAAAAATCCCAAAAACCATTTCAAAAAATGCAAAAAAAAAACCCCAAAACCATCCCAAAAACCATTTCAAAACATCCCATGAACCATCTCAAAAACCAACCCAAAATCATCCCAAAAGAGTCCCAAAAAAATCCCAAAAAACCATTTCAAAACCATCCCAAAACCATCCCCAAAAATCACGCAAAAAAAGTCCCCAAAAATCCCAAAAAAATCCCAAAACCATCCCAAAAACCATTCAAAAAAATCCCCAAATCATCCCAAAACCATCCCAAAAACCATTTCAAAAAATCCAAAAAAAATCCCCAAAACCATCCCCAAAAAGCATTCAAGAAAATCCCAAAACAATCCCAAAAAAATCCTAAAAACCATCCCAAAAACCATTTCAAAAAATCCCCCAAAAAATCCCCCAAAATCAAAAAAAATCCCCAAAAAAGGAGAGAAAAAAGGGAATTTTTGGCACTCACTGTCCACGAGCTCCCGGGTCTGACCCTGAACGTGAAGGTACAAAGGGCGATCTCTGGGAAAAAAAAAATAATAAAAGTTACGCCAATGAAAACTTTAATTTTTAAAATTACAAAAATAATAATAATTAAAATAATTTTTAAAAATAAATACAAACCCAGGGGCCACTTTGGCTTTYTCCTCTGCGGTCATGAACCTCCCCCGGGTGGAGACGGCGGCGCCGCTCAGGCGGCTGATCTGGAAAAAAATAATAAATCAAAATAAATTAAAATTAATTAAAATAAATTAATATAAAAATAACYCAAAATAAACARAAATAAAAYGCCATTYCCAGTTCAACACCCAATAAATTCCCAGTTTAAYCCCAAATTTCCATTTCCCACCCAATTTCAATTTCAATTTCCACCCAATTTCCATTTCCCCCCAATTGTGAC